TAACCCGCACATACACCCACCTAATTTAAACAAACGCAGGAGTTAATCGAAGAACGGCCCGAAAGCAATCTAAGAAAGATCCACAAAAATCACTATTCAGCTACCCAGAAGTTAATTAATAGCAAAGTCTCGTCAGCATTAGCACAAAAAGTAAGAGAACAATCATCAGTTGTTGGTCATTGACAAACCCAACTATAATGGACATATGGATCCATTATTGGTCATTAAGATGTCCACTAGCTACCTCGGTAAAGCCACTCTTCATTTATATGCTTCAGTCAATCACCTGAACAGAAATTTTGCAGTTGGCTCGTGTAGATTATCCTCGTGCTCCAAGATCATACAAAGGTCTATACAATTTGAGCTCAAGGCTCGATTTTTCGTTTAAAAAAAAAACAAAAGGATTAAAAGCCTTTACCATTCTCATAACAATTTGTTTGAATTGCCTTTTTTTTAAAAACAAAATTTTATGTTTTTGTAAACCAATTTCTTAATTAATACCTTTTTAATTTATATATATCAAATCGTTATTCAGTATATTTTTTTATAAAAATTTTAGAAAATAACGATCCAAACAAGCTTAGCAAGCCTCTTACATCCAAGATTTCGTACGTTTGTTCTTAGATTTGAATAAGATGCATTTTAATGTGATTTTGTCATAGGTTGAGAGTGTGCATCGAGTCCAAACTGTAGTCCTTGTACAATTAATTGAGAGCTGTTGATACAAACTCAAGTATGGAAACACCAATTTTCCTTTTTGGTTTTCTCTTGGCGGCGAAAAGCTATTTTGATTTTTGCGGACGTAAATTGGATGACAACGAACTTTGGGGATTTTGTCTTCTCTGTGTGGTCTTGAAGGCCGCACAGGTCCCTGAATGGTGGTGGTAGTAGCGGTGGAAAAGCAGCGTGGGGTAAGTCGTGGTGATGGTGGTGATTGTGGTTTTTCATCGAAATTTTTTTACATTTTTTGTAAACATATTTTTTAATTACTTTTTTTTCATCTTATATATATCAAATTACTATAAATTTTTTTTTTTTTTACAAAAACTCTTGAAAATATTAATCCAAACAAGCAGCAAATTAATGATAATTAAATACTGTGCCAAAAATTCATAGATGAAACTACTACACTATCAGAATTCACAGTTTTAAGTGCAAGTTAGCAGTTGATAATAGTTTAAGGATGTATTTAGCAATTAATCATATTGACATTCAAGGAAAAAAAATGAGCAATTGACCATATTGTAATTGCCATTTGAATCAAGTTTACATATGTTTTTTCGTGACCTAGTCTTTTTTTTTTGTAATCCGGAACATGCCCCGACCCGAATCATTAGGACCCGAGCCGGCACACCAAACCGGAGGGAAGCCGATAGCCCCATACAGCTTTTCCAGGCGAGTCAGGATGTACAGCGCAGCGGGCACGAATCAAACCCCGGTCAGTGAGAAAGGCGGCAACTCAATACCGACCCTTCAACCGCTGCGCCATATGCCCTGGGGGCGTGACCTAGTCTTTAGGGCTTAATAACTTCCAATAAGTAAAAGGTTTAAATGACAATGTGGATAGTGCAGCAAAATAGCCAATGCACGGTGAGATAAACGATTTTGTTTAGAAAAAAGTTGTTCAAGATAAATGAATGTGCGGCGAAGGGTTAAGTTTGGTAAGAAGGGAGGGAGATTATAAGTAGAAGATCATTGATTCAAGATCTTTCATTTATAAAGAAAAAAGATAAATGATTGTGCTAAGAATTCATCTTCTCTACAACTCATTTTCTCACTCTTCTCTTTAGAATTCCTTCAATTAAAATCTCAATTGACTCTTCTATAAGAGAGAGACCAAATGATCTGGTATGTGGGAGGGCCTTTCCCTAAATTTACTTTCTTTGTTTGAATAAATTCTCTTAAACTTTCTTAGTGAGAGATTGTTTTCTTTCAAGATTTTCTAGTAAGAAGTTCTTCTTCCTTAAATTTTTCTAGCGAAAGTTTTATTCTCTCTTAGAATATCCCTCAGAGTTTTTTTTCAATGGGTTCGATTAGAGATTAGGTAGATGTTAAAAACCAAATCTAGAAATCAAATTAAAATTTTTCTTTGCACTTGAAGCAATTTTTATGCGTATAGATTGATTGGGTTGCTATGATATTCATATGACAAAATATTTTTGGAGTTTCCATATTGTGATCATGTTTTTTTATTTTTTAATTTGTTGTATCAAATAATTTTCATATCTATATATCTGTATCATGTTTGATATTCACACTGTCACTAGTGCAGATATTGGAAGGAAATTATCTTTTTTGTAAAAAAAGATAAATAATTTTACCTACTAAAGAGTTATTCAAGTTCCTAGACGGGCAGATACAGCAATCTTTCATGGACTAATACCCATGTGCTTTTCAAATCAATGTGTTGGATATTATATTTTTTAAAAAATATTATTTTGTTTGTACTATAAAAATATTTTTTAACCAATTATTTATATTTTTAATTATCTTTTTATTTCACATATATCACATCATAAAAAAATATTACAATAATTATTTCAGATAACACACTATCCAAGTACACTCAATTAATTATTTTCCAATAAAAAAATGACCTACCTAACAATCCATCAACAAAAATATTGCATTTACTCATGCTATTTACCTTAAAATATATTGCATTTACACTATGCTATCTACCTAGATGCTGAACTCGAAATCTAGTAGTAGAAGTGACTACGATCTTGAGACAGGCTTAAGTTATACTACATATACACATAATTGAAACAAGAAGTAATCTTGACTAGTTATCTGCCAGTAAACCAACTAATAATGGCCTGCAACAATTTTCCCTGGCTCTAATCATTTTGTTACTCGTTCCGTGAACTACTAGTAATTTATTCAGAAGATGAAAAGAGTGAGCGGGATAGAGATAGACATCCAGATGCAGCTGCAAGAATGGCAACGACTGCAAATAAAACAGCGCTAGCTCTCTCACTATCCTAGACGACCTAGAGTAGCACTAGTAAGTACGTACAATACTGCAAAGTGCAAAGGACCACAGACATGCAACTAGGGGTCTCTCTCCCTGACCTTGAGCCTTCTTTATCATGCAGTACTACTGTTACTGCTACTACTACGAATTCTCCCTCTCTTCCCTGTCACCCCTTTGTGTAATTTTGTGTTTGATAGTGATTCGATGGAAGTGACAAGTGAGAACTGAGAAGATGATAAGATGGGATGTTTGTCCCACGTGGGGTTCGCACGTGGGTAGACACTCATAATCATCAAGAAGTTAGCATGGCTGTGCGGCGGTTGATGGAAATTACTACTACTAAGTACTAAGTACTGACTTGGCTTGGACTTGGATGAACGAATGAATGAAATGAATGTTGAAACCAGTCCCTGGCCGCTGCTGCTGCCACTGCTGCTGCTGCTCCAACTTTCTGTCATCGCATGTCTGTGTGCTTGCTTCACGCAATCTTTGCACCCCGGCCCCCATTCCTTCATCCATTTCTTCTCTTTCATGCCCCTTGCCGTGGCTTTAAAGTCTCCACTTCGCAGCTAGCTTCCACCACCACCTTAACTACTCGCTACTGCTAATTATGCTTTCCATTGTTTGGGGATTGTTTTTTTGATAAGATAACGGTCCACTTGGCAAGTGAGTTTTTTGAGTATTTATTTAAAATTTTAATATAATTTACTGTAACAGTTGTAAATTTTTTTTAAAAGTGTGTAATTTTTTAATATTTTGAAATGTATAATTTAAAAATTTTGCGAAATTTTTTGAGGTTACTATAGATAAAATTGTTAAAAAACTTGTAGCAGATAAATTTAACCAAAAACTTGTTACAAACAAGGCCAATAATAGAAAACTAACTCTCAATTTGAATCATGGACAAGACAGCCCGTTTATATTGCTATTTTATGAAGTTTTTGTAGAAAAATGTACTGTATTGATTTAATACATACGAGATTTAAAAAGTGATTGATAAATGAATTCATAAAAAGCATTAAAAATTTTTTGAAAAAAAAATGACAATCCAAATAAGGCATGATCTATAAAATTGGAGCAGTAAATTTTGAGCTCTATTTGGGATCAAAGCTGCACATCCTTGAAAATAAAATTTTGTTTCGCTTTTGACCTTGAACCTTGAGGAGAGTGAGGTGTGACGCATAACGTTCCTTCCCTTCATCCTATGTTCCATTTGTCGACATAAGGAGTAAGTAATTAAGGTACAGAGTCATCAGCATAAATTTCATTTGCACTTTCATTTTGATTCTTAAACTTTAATATTCGATACTTTACCTTCAAAAGTATGATATCCATATCATTTCATTATAATCATTGATGAAATTATCAAAACAGAAGGAATATTTTGTCATGCTTTCAACATCACTTGCCAATTAGTCCATTATTTTTGACAACTCCATCGATGATTGTACTGATGAACCATGACACATGTCATACTTTAATAATTAGGAACTCAAGTGTCTAAAATTGAAAAAGCACATTTATATTTTAAGAGTCTAAAGTGAAATTTACCTAAGTAATTGTAGTGTTAAACAATAGATGAAGCTATATAGTATATTATGGTTTCCATGATTAAAATTTATTATATACTCAATATTTGTTTTCTAAAATAGAAATATATAGACATATATATATATATATAAGCAATTAAAATTTAAAACTCTGAAAATCTCTTAATTTTAATTTTTTTAGACGGTACATCAGTTACGCGTAATCATTAAAGTAATTGATGACTCGAACTTGTGACCTGAAATAAAGCGTGACAGCGGGCATTTCATCGTCGGTTACGCATAATAACTCATTAGTCACGTGTATCACATAATTAGCAAATAAAAAAATTTCGTTAAAATCTAAGAATACCCTTGTTGATAATTACTCTACGTGGAGATAAATTAATTTTCATTATTTAGTTAGATACGCATTATAAAAAGGTCTGGGTCCGTGAACTGACCCAGCACCAAAAGCTTCACAATAATTTTTTTTTCTAGGAAACTATTATCAGCCTCAAACAGAGACAGAAAACCCTCTTTTCTTTTGATGCAAAGCTCTTCTTCCCTCTCTCCAAATCTTTTGTTCTTTCCCCCTTGTGCAACTTTGAAGACCCCACAGAAGAAAGAAAATTAGTTGTATCAGGCGGGACTAGAGAGAAAGAAAGATGAGTGGTACCGGGCATAATGGAAGTGGTCCTTGTGGTGCCTGCAAGTTTCTCAGGCGAAAATGCTTAAAGGGATGCATATTTGCACCCTATTTTGACCCGGAACAAGGTACAGCTAACTTTGCTGCAGTCCACAAAGTGTTCGGAGCTAGCAACGCTTCCAAGATGCTGCTGAGAGTTCCGGCTCATAAGCGTCTGGATGCCGTGGTTACACTTTGTTATGAGGCTTTGGCTAGGATTAGAGACCCTGTCTATGGCTGTGTTGGCCACTTATTTACTCTTCAACAGCAGGTATATATTCCTTATCCATCTCACTTAGAACTTAATTTTCTTATCTAATTATCTACCTCCATATCTGCCATATATGGAGGAGTCCTGTTTCTTTCTTCTTTTCTTCGCTTTTTTCTTCCTTTAAGTATATAAACTAGTTTTATGGGAACTATGATTCGATGGTGAATGTGGTCAGTAGTTTTCTTGTAGATTTTCTATTTTTAGCCATGATGAAGCCACTAAGTTCATAGCTGTTTGACTTTGGGATTGTGAAATCGAAGAACACTGGAAATGCTTAAGATTTTAATCATGGGTGATGTTACTATGGATCTGATTGTTGAGAATTTCATACTCGTTTATGTTTAGTAGTTAAACATGATTTGTTTCATTAAGAAAGCTTCCTCTTGTTAGTTGTCATGTTACTTTAATTTTCTCCATTTGTGATAATCTACTTAGCCAGGGTATTGAGCTCATTTCCTCTTTCTGTCTGTCTTTCTTTCTTTCTTTGTTATAATAATTCTTCTCATGTTCAATCAAAGTCACGTTAACTAGTTTGAACTGCAACTTCAATTCATTGAGAGGACTCTAGAAAAAGATGGGAGTATTTTATTGGGGTCCCCAAGGGGGAGTGGGGATGGTCGACTAGTGATAGGGATACCTGTGGATTTGTGAGTTCCATTTCTCTTGCTTGCCGGAGTGGCCAAACTAAACTGCAATTTGCAGCTCGAGAAATATACAATTGTCGGATGTTTTGACTTTCCTGCACTCTTTCGAGTAGTTATCTTTAACTTCAAGTAAAATATATACTACAAACCATACATTATTGGCCAACTAATGCATAATGTCGTCTTTGATTGACATCCAACAATTGAGCATGGTGATTTCCAAGACATTTCTAGTCCGAAGCAAATTATACTACTTGCAGAATAGGTAACTTTCTTGCATCCTGTCCTATAGTAGCATCTTGATGAATTTATATCTAGAGAAGAGAAGAGAAAGTTGCAAGTCGATCTGTATTCCTTTTCTAGAATGGTTGAATACACTACTATAATATTCAGTGGTGTCCGGATTTGCAGATGAAATTAGGACTGCTCGTGGCTTTAATTAGGTAAGATGGCAATACCACTTATAGTTGACTCCACGATACACCACAGGAGCCTAGCCTAGGATGGACTCATTGAGAAAACAAGATAAAAGTTTCACTTATTTGACAGGATTAATTACCCTCCAAGCTGATGCTAGAGGGTTGAGAGTTGGGACATTTCATATCCAGTCTTGTTGTAATATGCCAAGGTTCCTCCACCAATTGATTAGATCACAGATGAAGCACTATGTCTAGGGAGGAAATATACGGTTCCTCTATAGTTTTGAGAGTTTGTTATTTGGAAGCTATATGAAGTGTGTCCTAGAAAATTTTCATACTTCTTTGAAGACAAACATCACAAATTTATCAACCTATATACACTTATACTTAATTAAAAAAGGAAAAAAAATCTAATTGCTGCAAAATTCTTATCGACTAGATATTAATTAGTATGATGATTGACCTTTTATATGCCAAATTCAACTCAAGCCCTTGATTATTCTTCAAAAAGTGGGCCAAAAAATTATTTTTAGTGTCCGATATGACATATCAAATTCGTAGTCACATCAAGCATCTTATTAATTATTAATCATTTCTTTTACTTGTTAATTATTTTTAGCTTTTTTGGGCATTTGTTCAGTACAACTGTTGATGCAATGACCGTCTTTATAAATACAAGTTGCCGTTATGACAAAAAAAAAAAAGTTGTTGTTGCATGTGGTTCTTTCTACCTAAGCAAAGTTCATCAAATGACATGTTTGTATCATAAGCCTGGGAAAGCTGATAATTTGGATCTGCATTGTTGCATGTTATGTATAGGTTGTGAATCTGCAGGCGGAGTTGGCTTGTGCTCAAGCCCGACTTTCCACACTGCAGCGGCTACCTTCGATGCTGCCTCCACCAGCTCAGGGTCCCTCGCCGGGCAATTTCCAATCTTGTACTGCCAATGCATCCTCAATCCACAATCTTGAACCTCCATTGCCATCGGAGCAAACTTCCATGGATATGGAGGGCTTTTCCAACCCAGTAAATGATCGGGACTTGGGAGGTGGAGACGACCTTCATGCATTTGCTCAGGGTTTTGTTTCTAGATACTTGCCTGAAGTCAAATTCAAGCCTTGTACCTCCCCTTGAAATTCCAACAGACTTGCAACGTTTTTGTTGTTTTGGGGTTGAGTTTCAAGCAGTTTTTTGTATGTAATTTAAATGTAACCGGAAGGCATTTCTGAACCTTAAAAAACTGTGTTTGAAACTGCAAATATCAACATCAGCCTCGTCCAGTTTTGAATTCTTTCGGACAGCAAAAATGAAAGGGAATTCCCTTCCCATCAAGTATTTTTGCTGGACCAAATTTTCTATTAATGCTATAATGGTTCAAGAATTATGTCAATTTGCTGTTTGTACACACTCCCAAAACGGCAAACAATGCATGGATATTTCTAATTTTATCTCCCCCACCCGCCCTCCTCTCTTTGTGGCTAAATTGTCTCGGCTAATGTACTAATTCACTTGTCACTTCAATATGTAAGAGACTTTTTTGTGTAGCATTAGAGTGCAATTATTTTTCAAACAGTTATGACATTTGCTTCCTGAGGAGGTGATTTTAGTCCTGCTGAAGTGGGTTGCACTAACTGGATAAGTGTTCTTATCTTGGGCAGCTCTCTTGGACGAGATCACCTGCTTAGGTTGTGAGAGGGGCTGAATCCCCCGGTATAACTCCGAAGCTCAAGTCAGCTCGGTAGTGAAAGAGTAATATAAGAGTAGAGAAGACGAGTATGCTTTACCAGAAAATTGGTCATCCCCTATTTTCAGTAGAGGTGTTGAGTATTTATAGAAGACGGATAGGAGAGAGGGACTGCCAGCACGGGTCCCTAAAGATCTAATATGGTCAGTGCATCTGATGGACTTGACTGATCTCTATGAAAGGACGTGATGGGACATTCGTCAGGTTCAAACGACGTGTCAGAGCAGCTTTCTGTCCGGCGTCGGAGGCGTCAGAGGTGTCAGATGTCACATCTCACCTCTTCACAACTGTCGGATGCCCTGGTATCACCTCGGCTAAGGATGTTAGCCGAGACGGTAAAGAGGTGGACGTCACCTCAACTGGTAACCGCCGAGATGGTGATTCACGAGGTATTACTGGGCGAGGCCTCGGGATACCCGAGCCGGAATAACCATCCTCGCTTCCAGAAAAAAATGTATAGAATGAAATAATATACCGAAGGAGGACATGCAAGTGTCAATCACCCACGCGATAAACTACTGGAATAAAACAAATCTTCAATTCCTTGATCCCAGAAAAAAAAAAAAAAAAACTATTGGAAGCTCCAACTACGACATCAGTTAAAATGAGTTTCAGAGACGTAAGCAAGATTTCTTTGTGTACCCTTTCACTTGGGAGGGAAATCACTAACACAAGGTAAAGATCATTAACAGAAATTTTTTTTTTTTTTTTTTGGGTATTAAAGAGAGTGATATAAGGATTGTGCAAGCGTGGTGTTTAAGAGTTTTAATGTGAGAATGTGCAAAAGAGTGGCTGGGTATCGTCGACTAGAACGAGAACTACTGCGCTGGAAATCCGAACAGAAGCAGCATACGTTAGACGAGAATAAGAAAAATAGAGTATTCATCATTTAACCCCTAAACTTCTCATGTTCTTCACTTTTTGTTCCAATCTTTTTGTCAATAAGAAATTCTCGTTGTTATCCAGACAAGGTAATTAGATTAGTGTGGATTTGAAATGAATTTATCTTGATTCCATTCATTTAAAATCTTTCCTTCTCCCATTGCACCAACAACCACTATAATCTATTCTAATTAGCTCTGTAGGTTATTTTCCCACTGTTATTTCTTCTCCCTCGTCCTTCTCTCTAGAAAAAAATTCTCTAATTAAAACTCCCTTCAACTCTCCCATGAGAGAAAGATTAGATTTTTTTTTTGATACTTTTCCACGGAAGGAGCCCTCTATATAGTTTTTTTTTTAAATCTGTATAAATAAAATCTTTTCTAAAATTTTCTAGCGAAAATTTCTTCTCTCTTAGTGTTGTCTAGTGAGAGTTTTTTTCTCTCTTAAATTTTTTTAATGAGAGTTTTATTCTCTCCTAGGAATTCCTAGTGATAGTTTTTGATAATTTTTTCATTTTTCTTTTATTAGATCAGAGTTTTTTTAAATTTTGATTATCAGATCTGAAATTTCTTATATCTATTCGATAGATCTTATCATAATATTTGGACTTAAAGTATTTAATCAGCATATCTAATGATTGAAAGCATGCACACATGTTCGTAGAGTTATCTTTATCTCATTTTTTAAATTTGAAGATTTATAATGTAATTTTAATTGTTCTTCGTATCTAAGTATCATTTCTTCATATTTGTTCTTTGATATCTATGTATGTTTGATAATGTAATTTCTGCATTAGTACAGATTTTAATGAAATTATGATATTTTATAAAATAAAATCCTTCATTCTTTTTATATTCAAACCAATCAATTTAATCCATTCACATTTAATATTATGATGTATCATGTCAATTTGAAGGTTTTTGGCATCCCCTAAAGCTCATTGCAATCAATCCAATAGATTGTGTAGCATTAAAGATATGGTTTAATTAATTATTTGACATAGAATTTTTTTTTTAATAAAACATCATAATGTCATTAAAATCTATACTAATGATAGAGTTTATATCATCAAACATACACAGATGTAAAGAATATATTTGAAAAATAGATACTATACATTCATATAAAAGTTATACTGCAAGGTTCCAAAAAATTTAAAAAAATAAGATAAAATAACAGTGACCTCACGAACATCTTTGAATGTTTTTAATTGCCAACACGAATATCCGTGCATGTTTTTAATCGATGGATCTACATATTAACTACTTGAAATCCAGATATTATGATGAGATCTATTGAATAGATCAAAAAACTTCAAAATCTAATAATTAAAATTTAAAAAAATTTAGATCTAATAAAAGAATAATGAAAAAAACTATCTAAAACTCTCACTAGAAATCTTTAAAATAGAAGAAAACTCTCACTACAAAAATATAGGGAAGAAAGCTCACACCAAGCAACCCTAGAAGAGAAACATCAGTCATTAAAAAATCTTATGAAAAACCTTATTCACATATATTAAAAGAAATTAGAGAGAAGACTCCTCACAGGAACAGAAAACTAGTAGAGAAGTTTTGGTTAGAAAAATTTTTTTTGAAGAGATTTATTAGAAAATCAAATTTAGGAAAAATCTTCTAATGACTTGACACTTAATTTCGCATTAATACTTAGTAAAAAGAAAAAAAATCATAAAATAAAAAATTTCAAATTTAATGCCATGGGACGTAAGTGTGTTTGGATAGCAAATTACTTGTACAAATTTACCTATTTGTATCATAAATATATTTTTTATTTTACATATATTATATCAAAAAAGTATTACAGTAAATTTTTTTTTTTTTAAAATAATCCCCTATCCAAAATTGCAATACAAGACAAGAGTGCGTGTAGGACACGAGTCAAAACACTTGCACGGTTGCACCTCTCCACTTTCCCTCGTGAAATTGCTTCTTGTCAGGTCAATCCCCCGTCCCCCGGACATAAAAAAGTTACTGTAAGTAATTCCAACGAAAAATTAGAGAAAAGTAAAAAAGAATTCTCAAATCGAGTTGAGCTGGAAGTTTGAACTTCCCCCTGTCCGAAAATCGCTTGCCAAAAAAATTCGAAATTAAAAAAAAAAAGAAAAAAGAAAAACGCGCACTCACACGGTAAAGTGTAAAAATTTCTCCTCATCCTACTTCTGCTGCTGCTGCTGATTCTTCAACTTTCTGCTTCTGCTGCTGACGATTTGCTGTCCTGACATGAATCCAAGCAAAGTGGAAGATGAAATCTTCAACCATCACCACCACCACAGTCACTTGGGGCCCCCGCATCATATTATAGTAGATCATCACCACCATCATCATGGCCAATCTCAGCCGTCGGTATCGGTATTCGACGGCGAACAACCCGACGATGAAGCTTTTCACTTTGAAATGGGTCTCTTCCGCGAGGACGACGAGGATGACATCAGCCAGAACTCATCCGACGCCGAAATTCCCCAAATTCAACCTTCCCTTAACCCTAATTTACCCACTCCACCTCCGCCCCTTTCTCCAAACCCTAACCCTAATAACCCTAGTGGCAGCAATACCAACGGCGTCGGAAAGGTGAATCATCATAACCATAACCATAGTCGTGATCATCATGCCCCGCCGGCGACGTACATTAGCCCCGAGCCTCATATTTCCTCCCAATTCTACACTTTCAACAAGGAGTCTCATGCTTTGATGCTGCAATGTCTCCGCGAAGGCCGCCCAGCTACGCCCGAGGAGATCCGCGCCGCTACGCCAGTTCCTGTGCTTTCCAGCTGGCGGTCGGTCTGGAAGGACCGGAATGAGGACACGGCGTACCTCACTGCGTGGAAGAGGATTCAGGACAAGCTCAATATTCATGTCAATCCTACCAACGGTAATGAATTTCTCTGCTTCAAGAATAATTCGAATCAATTCGTTTCCCATGTTGATCAGTGGCAGGACATTGTTATGAACTTTCACTGCGATGCGGATTTTAAACACCTAGGGTTAAAGGAAACTGTAGACCGAATTAAACAAACCTGGACTGTAGGTGCTAAGTTTTATGGAATTCCTGAGAGTTATATTAGGACGTGTGTTTCTGCATGCCCCATCTGCTCGGATGAGTCATCAGGGTGCGCACCGCGTAATAAAAGGCGTAGATTTGAGTATACAGAGTCATTTGAGGTACCAGCTAAGGAAGTACCCGCTCGGCTGCAACAGTTAGCTGCTAAACATAAAGTTGTGTTGTGTATAAGACAGAAATATATAAGGTATAAGCCATTTATGGCAGAGGTGAAAGATTACGCATGTCATAGGGCTGGTGAGCCAGCATCTTCAAAGAAATCCAGGATCTTGAAGCGAGAGCCGTATGCGTCTAAGCGCTGTGGATGTGGGTTTCGGATAAGGGCCATCGTGCCAATTTCAAATTACAATGAGAAGGATAAGACATTTGTTTATGAGGAAGAGGGAACAGCTGTATTTAAGTTGTATGCAAAGCATTCTGGACACGAGCCTGGCCCACTTGATGGGAACGCGAGGATTATGCATCGTGTTGTGGGGCATAAAGGGGGAGTTATGATGGATCAGGATGCAGTGTACGGGATGGGTGAGGAAGCAGAGAATGAGACTTTTGTTTTTTTGGGCAAGGATGATGGTGATCTGCAGCAAGCTGTTTTTCAGCAGGTGCAGGAATTAAGAAACGAGGTTGGGTTGCTTGAGGCAAAAATTGGGAAATTACCAGCTGAATTATTGTCTTCTGTATCTCGTGATTTGTTTGATATTGTGCACAAGCTTAGAAATGTTGGGGACTATGGCCCTAAATCACTGGATTTGCTTTCAGACAAACATGATTCAGATGGTGTGCTGGTGGGAGAGAACGATTTGGCCGAGTGGACTGAACATCACCACCAGAGGCTCTATGGGGATGGCAAGGATGTGGATCTACTTGATGATGATGAGGACAGCTTTGGAAGAACCCTTGGTGATGTTGTTCCTTGGGATCCAATGAGGACTGACTGTAGGACTGAGAAGGATCTGCTCAGTGAAACTTGTAAAGCGGAAAAATGGTTGAATCCAGGTGAGTTTGACGAGAAGAGTATCCTTGACTGTGGGGATTCCAAGCTGACTAAGCCCTTAAGGCATGATGAGACTATAGATCCGGATGTAGGTCTTGCTTTACAGGTAGACAACTTCTATCCTGAAAATCCGAAGTGGTTTGACTCCCCTTGTGGCTTGGACTCTGGTGCAGATTGTGGCGATGGAGAATTCAGGCCTGGGGGGATTGTGTAGAATTTATTCATCTGGTGAAACTTACTCCAACTTATTTGAGTTTTCGGGTGCCATTCATCCATCTCTCATCCTTGGAAGTGGGTTGTATAGTTGTGTAGACTGAAGATTGAAGCTTCTCACAGCCTTCTGGGTCTGTGCTTCATGTAATTCTGTAAAGTATAGCCATTAGGCTTCTTTGCACATACCTTTAATGACTGTTCTTAACTTGGCTTTAAGTTCTTTTGCGGAGATTTCAAATCTAAAACTCAGTTTCTCTTATACTTCTCTTGTTATGGTGTCTTTTAAGTGTTTGAGGACTTCATGGGTTCATTGCTGATGGTTTTTTTTTTCTTTCGGTGCTTTCCAATGGCGTTATTGTTCTTTGATACACGTGTACATGCATGCACAAACTAGTAGGTACATGTGGCACATTGGTCCTTCTGTTACCAGTAATTGTTGTTTATTATTTCTGTTGCGAATGGTACTTTATATGTTTCTCTTACAGATAATGTTATTATGTTGCTTAGTAAGACATGGTATATCAGCACCTAAATTGCTGATACACTAATACTTATGGAAGTCATTTTACCTTTTTGCTAAGGACTGAATTATGAGGTGGTTTAGGGTTTTGGTGGGGATGCCAGAATACAATCAAAGCACAGATGACTAATAGTTATTGTTGTGTTTCTATGATTGTTACTTATAGAGTCCTAAAGCCGACCATTTTGCCTTTGTTTCATAATTTTTCTTTCATTTGTCATGGTTTTCATATTTACACTCATCTAAATTATTTCACCTTGTCCACTTGCAAAGAAAAAGCAATGTATCAGCAGCTCAATTCATGCTTTCTTGATAAGTCAAGTTTAAAATTTGGAAATGAATATCATGTTTGAGGGACAGAGTGGTAAACTTGTTTATTGTGCAATACAAAATAGTAATGGTGGAGTTTTAATGGTAACTTTATAAACTAATGTGAAGGATTATACATTTATGCATTAAGTGAGAGGTTAGTGTAATCTACCCATAGATTATGAGGAAGAGGTTAGGACACCCGATATTTAGCGATAAAGAGTGGCGGACACCAGATAGATCCGGAAAAAGGGGGATTATTCAGGGCAGGCTCGATGGATGACGGTGAACAATTGGATGGTTAGGACACCGCATATTTAGAGATAAAGAACGGCGGGAACTTTTTGTACGTGGTATGCCTACTTTTTGAAACATATCCGGTTGTTTTGGTGGACAGTGACGGAATTGTTAGAGCGGATGTTCTTCCTGTTAACTGCTCATCGAAAAACCTATGTATTCCTTGTTCTTCATTTATCCTGCTACACCATGGCACATTTATTTGAATATTCCATAAACAGAAATGTACTTGGATCTGTTTGACCTTTGTGCGTATGCAACTACAGTAAGCATTTAAACACTATAATGTGAGAGAATTCAAAACAAATTCAGGGTCACACTATGTGCTGCACCATATACTCATGAGGCATCTTGGGAAATGATCAATGCTGCAGATTGTGTAACTTTAGTATCTCAGCCTGCTCATAGCATTAATGCTAGACTGGCTCATAAAAAATGTATTATTATGCTGTTGTCACAACTGCAAATGTTAAGCCTACCCATTGTTTTGAGAATCAGAATTTCTTATGCTTTTGATGGCTTTCTGCAGTATGGATTGGGGATCAGTCCTATTTGTGTTGCAAGTGCTTTACTAGCACATTTTTACTTCTTTGCTAAATTATTAAGATGTATCCAAAAAAAGAAGTCCTTTGTTGGTTTTCCTCCTCCTGGTAAACAAAATGTCCTTAATACCATTGCGTTACTTTCTTTGTGTTGACCCCATGTCTATTTTTTCTTGAGCAAGCATACTTGTAACCTTAATTCTGGCGAAGGTGTTCAGATCAAGTCTGTGCAACACAAGGATCAAGAATGCACTATAGAAGGTCTTGTCTAGAAAGTTTTGTGAAGATGCGGGCTCTGGGATGTTCTGGCTCACTAAGTGATTATCAAATGCTGCAAGTATGATTTCTGGTGCATGATGTGTATCTGATTATTTAGGATGCTGTTGATCACTACTTCTAGTGGTGCCTAAACCTTGTAGCACGTGCATCTGCTTATGACTAGTGAAGTCTAAAGAAACTAAATGGAAAATTCTTTCATTGGCCTTGTTAGATCAGTTGTTTGACAGCTAAAAATTCTGTCTTTCGGGCTTGTTACATCATATGGGAACGGCTCCATGTTCTGGAAGCAGGTCACAAACAGATTTCCTGTTCTGGTCAATATTAGACACCACGATGTGTTGTGAGGACTGCAACATGAGGTTGCTATGCAGAATGGGTATAAAATGGACAAGAATGGCAAGAAATCCATCAGTTGCCTATCAGCAAAATGCAAGCAATGGGTAAGAGCCAATCAAATCATTCGGTGACTTTTTCTTCAGCTTTGACGTGATGTTGATCATCACCCTAATGATTTTTATGATTATTAGATCAAATATTAAGTATATTTAGTTGCACATGGTCAAATTTTATGGTGAGTGTCTTCCTAAACTTTCTCCCTTGAAATGCCATTATGACGTTTTAGGGGAAGAATTCATTATACCAGACTACCAGGCTTATACTTCTCATTATGTCATTCATTGTTGTATGTTTTCTTTTGTTTTTGTAGATGTCAATTAAGTTGCATAGTTTAGTGCAGTGTTGCATGTTTTGACCTTTTCTGTTGCTTGGTTTACTCGGAGATTGTTACTGAGGTTGTGTCACTTTTTTTTTTTTTTTTTTTTTTTAAAGTTGTAAGGTACAACGTGTTCCTTTATATGCCACCGTCTATTCTTTTCCTTTTCTTTATACGCTGCTTAAGCAAAGGTTTGGATCTGGTTTTTGGTCCCTTCAGAAATGTTTGTGTTTCATTTTTTATCTTAAATTTTGGCTCGTTTATTCTGTGTTATATTAGTATGTTCAACTGGTTCTCTTTTCTCCTTTTGGTTTCTGAAATTGCAAATATTTATTCTTAGTTGCTTTCACTTGTCTCTGCTTATCTGTGTTTAGTCTCCTTGCTGTTCCACCATGTTTTGAGGCTTTTATTAACTTATTTCACTTGGCTCTATATCGTGGTTGTTAACGTGCAGTGACAATGTCCAGTTTGGAGACTCTACAGTTTGTTGCCAGGTCATGTTTCTGAAGTTTCACTGTGGCATTTGTACTTGAGGGAATGCTTTGACTGGAAAATACCATGCAACAGCTGAAAGAAGTTAGGTGCTTTGTCCGTAGATAGCACCTGACACACTTTAGTCAATTATCACAGATTAAAGCGCTTAGAGAGCACGGGAAAGAGAGAACAGCTAGTAAAACTACAACCTTCTTCAACTGCTGAGTCAGCTCTAAGAGCAGATCTGGCATCAAGCCTATCCCTTGACCCTTTTCGGGGATCAAGTATTACCTATACGGAGTACCGAAGGTAAGGCGGGTCCCAGGAGAAAGCTGCTTTTGTTGAAAAAATTCCTGTTTATTCACTTCTCTCTCTCTCTCTCTCTCCCCCTCTTTTTTTGTTGGCTACAAGATGCTGGTGATGCATTAAAGTCTGAATTCCTATAACTGTGTGTAGCTTTCATACTCCAAAACACATGCAGGAATCCAAATGACGAAGATGGTGACTGTGGGTCTGTGATTTTTAATATTTTATTGGGGAAAAATTCAGGATTTATTTTTAAGCTCACAGTACCTATATTTTGTGAACCCTAAATGCACACCTCTCCATGGGAAAAATTGAAAAACCCTGTATATCCACTTTGCACATATCGGACCTGGTTGTTGGTAGTGTTCTAGATTTCTGATCTCAGCATTTGGTTCAAATGGGTGAACTGTGGCCATTTAAGATTATGCACTTCGTTTGCATGCTTCTTGCCATGCTGCTACACTGACACTGAACTGGGCCTATGTATTGTCGCATTTTCTGAAATATAGTTCAAACTCATTGGGTTTGTCTTTGACTAATGATTATTGGTTTTAAATCTATCTTTTGTTCTTTTTTCCCAGGTTGAGCTAAACTATTGCAATATTTTAAACTTTCTATTTGATTTTATTCAAATTTTCCATACAGCTGCCTTTCATTTTTTGGGTGAAGTACAACCGATATTAAGTTGCAGATGCATCAATCTTCTGATATATGAAGACAAAGGAAACCATTGTCAGTGTGTTCTGACAATGCCTCTTTTATAGGTTCTCATGAGCATTTTTACCTCCACGCATAGCATCTTGCACATGAGCATGTGATGGTTATGCGTATCTGAGTCATTGTTTCCTGTATCAAGACATATTAACTTTCACTGGTGTAGTTTTGATATTCTTGGAGCAGGATACTTGTGGTAGTGAAACAGTAAAAGGTGGGGCTCTCCGCTGTCAAGTCTACTAATTGCAGGCTGCAACTGGCTGCTTTTTGATCATCTCCTCCATCAATTTCAAAGGATGCCTTGTTCTTGTCTGCGTATAACTCTTGATATGTAAAGATGGGATTGGCAATTGGAGCTGTGATAAAAATAGTAGGCCCTGTGAAAAAAAAAAAGAATAAAAAGGACCTGAAGGCTGCACTGTCCCATCTGGGCTATATTATTACTAGCAGCCATGGCCTACGGCAGTTCTTCCGCATTTTGATGCTTGAATGTTGCTAATGTCGAGTAATTGCTCTGCCCATCATAGGGTGCATCCACATCATCCAGCAAGGAAATGTTAATAAGAATTTGATTTGGCTGGTGAATGGAACTGGAAAGTGCAGGATGCACACCTTTCTTCCTGCTTAACTGTTGTTAGTTCTGCTAAGCTGTTTTGTCAGCATGATTAATCTTTGAACAATAGGCGGCAGCAGATTGTGAAAGGAGATTACGTGCTTACCCTATCATTTGCTTTTTCTAGGTTTATCAGTTGAGATTGATCCCGGAAGCACGGGTGTTTAGGTAATCGCATTACCTGTCTTTGTTGTTTAGTGTCAATATGACCGATGAAGATTACGCTCTCCTCCGACGACTCTGAACGTGTTAAAGTTCACGTAATTCTTTCAGTAGCGCTTATTTACAGGCTTGTCGAGAAGGTGCATTCTATGCAAAATAGAACGTCAAAGCTCCCGATAGGCTCATTAAGACAATTACCAATGTATTTTGGGGATTCCAAAAACAAATAAATTTACCTCCCTTCTTCAACACACATATAGGAGAAAACATGGAATAATGGTTCTACAAGAAATTTTTTTTTTTTTTTAAAAAAGGAACAACATTTAGGTTTGGAACGCTTTCATGAATGAAAATGTATTTCTTCATGAATATACTGCATAAATAGACAATGGAATGAACATGCTTGAGAGGAATTGTAATCAAGTTAATCGCCTGTTTGGATTGTAATTTTTTGGAGTTTTTGTTAAAAAAAAAAGATGATTTGATGTATATGAGAAAAAAAAAGTGATTGAGAAATGTATTTATGAAAAAAAAGTGCTTAAGGTTGACATTTTTCAATATCATGTTTGTGCTTGACAAGAACTCGTTTGAGGTTGACTGAACCCAAAAAAGAAAAGAGAAATAAAAGTGCTTTTTATCCAAAGAAAAAAAAGGAAAAAAAAGTAATTTATGTTCATCAAAAGGAAAGAAAAAATAAATGAGGAAAGAAATCATAGAGTTTGTTTGGATAAGAGTTTATTTGGATGATTTATTTGAGATATTTACTGTAGCACTTTTTGTGATGTGATGTATGTGAGATAAAAAGGTGATTGGGATTTGTGAAAACAAATTAAACAAACCAAATTTGGCTTGTCCAAACAAACTCATATCTAAAAATGACGAGACACAAGTCATGAAGAATAAAATCTTTTTTGAAATTCAAAAACTTGGGACCCATCTCCTTCCAAACAGGAAGGAGCACTGAAACAGAAAAGAAAACCAAAGGCACCAAAAACTAAAATATATATATTTATATTTATATAAAAAATAAATAAAAACGCTCTCCGGCGCTTCTTCCCCGTTGACGCCTTTTGCCTTTTCCTTTCCTTCTTTTCCCTCTCTCAAAAATTAAAAAATTATTAAACTCCCTTCCCTCCTTCCCTCCTTCCCTCCCTCGCGCCTCGCTCCGCCCCTCCCCTCCCCCCGCTCTAAAGTAGACGCTCATAAACTCATCATTACGCCTTTCATTTCAAAATTTTTTTTTTTTGCTTTTGAAAAAAGGTCATAAATAGTACTACTAATATGCGTTACAGATTCTCCATTCATCACATACTAATCCTCCATAATTTAGATAGATAGATATAGTAACTCTGTTTTAATACTACTAGTACCATACAGGATATTGTCTCATTTTCCAGTACAGATTTTACTCTTCGCCGGAAAATTAATCTCGCCGGCGGCAATAACCTTCAACTTCGCTACTCGGTCGATCATTTCAAGGTTATCACTCTCAGGTTTTTTCCTATTTCATTTTTAATCTCAATTACTGGTGCTCTGTTTTTTTTTTTTCTCTTTGATTGCATGCTAAGAAATCGTGGAAACGAAGATTCATCGTCATCGTCGACATTGGTGTAAGAACAAAGAGGACAACTTTGTTTTTGGTACCTTGTTGTTTTCTAGGAGTAAAGGAAGAAGAACAAACGCTTATAGGTTTTGGATTTTGATTCCTTTCGCTGCTGGAACGTGAGCGCACTTGATATTTAGGGTTGCATTTGACGGTAATTTCATATGTTTTCGAGGTAGTTCCTCGTTAATTTTGTGAATGTAAGAAAATGAGAACTAACAAGTTTTATGCTTTTCACTGGTTCTTTTCAGTTGGTATTGTAAACTCTACGCATGTGTCTTTCGGCCTTGTTCTTCTTTTCTGTTTTACTTCGGGAATTGCTGGCTACGTTGATGCTTTGCGTCACTTGATGAAGAAAAGATTGTTGATTTAATTGGTAACCAGAAGGCTGAAAGGAACCTGTGGGTCGATTTTTGTACTGTGCATTATCTATTTCCTTCTAAATCAATGTTCGGAATGGATCTACCAGGCGGTATCAGAGAGCATTGTCATGAACAGATAAATTCATTGAGAATTAGCATTATCATGATACTTGGGATTGCATGTGTTTATTTGTCCCCTGTTTATTGTTTCTCATGCCTTTCCTTTTCTGTTCAATCCTTTCCCCTAATATAGCAATTGCCATTGCATCATGTATAACCATTTTCACGATCAGGCTTTGCAGATGGAAACAACTTGTGGTTCTCTACTCTCTGAGCTGCAGGTATGCGCAAACAGGATGTCCTTTCTTTGGCTCATAGAAGAACATGTTTACTGTTAATCTGCGATTATAAAATTCTCATTTAATCGTACATTCATTTAAAATATATGAATCTTGCTTTTTTCCTTTAAGTTGAATTTTTTGCCTTGTATTATGGAATCAGAAAATATGGGACGAAGTTGGAGAACCTGAGACGGAAAGGGACAAAATGATTTTTGAACTCGAACAAGAGTGTCTGCAGGCGTATAGGAGAAAAGTGGACCAAGCAAGCCAATGCCAAGCTCAGCTGCGACAAGCAGTAGCTGACTCTGACTCTGAGCTTGCATTCATCTATGCAGCACTAGGAGAACGCCCAATGCATGTCAGGCAGGTAAGATCCCAGGAAATGAAACTCTGTTTCGTGTTTAGGAGAATTTCACCATGTAGCAGGGGTAATTCTGATTTTTTAAACCTGCATGTTGGATAGACTTCTGGAAGTCTAAAGGTGGAACTTCAGGCTGTCACTTCTGAACTGGAACAGATGCGGAAGAGAAAAATGGAAAGAAAGAATCACTTTATAGAAGTTGTGGAGCAAATAGATAATATCTCAAAGGAGCTGTCAGTATCTTCTGAAGAAACTCTGTCCATGACCATCGTTGATGATAGTGATCTGTCATTGAAAAGACTAGAAGATCTGAAAACTCAGTTGCTTGCTCTAGAAAAAGAGAAGGTTTGATAGTTTGGCATTTGGTAGTCTGACTTGATTTCTTGTTTCTTGATTATTGTTGTACTATCATCAAAGTTGACTTTACTTGTTTACTTTAATATGTGGTGTTATAAGAATGAAAGTGAGAGGACAAGTTTGAAAATCTTAATTTTGGAAGCATGAACCTGAAAATAGTTTGGATGTTGAAGTTATTGAATAATATTTTTGAGGGATTAGTCAACTTTAACAATGCATAATGATTTCAATGACACCTATGTCATTCGAGATTATTTCTTTATTAATGAATGCCATCAACTCATATGCAGAGTAACCGTCTGAAGCAGGTGCTTGACCATTTGAATACACTCAATTCACTGTGCTTGGTTCTTGGTTTGGATTTTAAACTCACTGTCAGCGAAATTCATCCCACACTGGATGATTCTTCTAGTGTAAGAAGCATTAGCGTGCAAACAATTGAGAGATTGTCTATCGCAATCAGCAGACTGAAAGACCTCAAGATACAAAGGGTGCAAAAGGTCTGTTATTCTTAGTCTTGACCTATGTGCAATGTGCAAAATGGTTGTTCGTTTCCTGTTGAATGTGTATGTTTTCACAGCTTCAAGATCTTGCCACAACCATGGTGGAGCTCTGGTGTTTGATGGATACACCAGTTGAGGAACAACAAAGGTTCCAGAATGTCACATGCAACATAGCTGCTTCAGTAAATGAAATAACTCAGTCTAACACTCTCTCCCTGGATTTCCTAGAATATGTATGTATTCAGACTTCCTCTAAAGTCGGAATTCCTGTCAGTGTGCATGTTCCATTGGTTTGAACTACAAAGCTTTCTAGGTGGTTCATAATTGCATTTTTTGCTTGCAGGCTGAAGCAGAAGTGTTAAGGCTGCAACAGATGAAATCAAGCAAAATTAAGGAGGTTCTCTTCAAAAAGAGGTTGCAGCTAGAGGAAATATGCAGGGGTGCTCACATGGTCGTGGAAGATCATAACTCAATAGATTTTTCCATTGAGACGATAGAATCTGGTAACATTCTTGGAGTATGTTTTACGTATTCTGAAGTGCAAAACAGATTTTAACATTCATGGGTCTTTGACTTCCAAGGAAAAGACAGCCTTACATTTAAATCCTTTACTGCTACCGCTATATGCTTGTTTAGTTTCTTCTCATTTTCTTTCTATGGTTGTTACTAAACTAGTTTTACTCATTACTATTGATGGATATCATATTATTTTCTCTCAGTAATATTAATTGCAATCTTTCAGGGGCAATTGATCCTTCTTATCTACTAGAGCAAATTGAGGTTCAGATTTCTAAGATTAAAGAGGAAGCCTTTAGTCGGAAAGAAATACTTGAAAAGGTTGAGAAGTGGCTTGTTGCTTGTGAAGAGGAGCGCTGGCTGGAAGAGTATAACAGGGTTGGACATTATCTTTATATTTATATTGAAATTTCCTTCTGGGTTCTTTTACTAAAACCTTTGTTTACAGGATGATAATCGTTATAATGCTGGAAGAGGTGCACATCTTATTCTGAAGCGTGCTGAGAAAGCTCGAGGTCTGGTTAACAAAATTCCTGGTATACTATCCTTTCTCTGAGTAGCTTTAAATCTAAAGATTATCAACAGTATCATGATCCTTTAGGTGTTTGAGAAGTCTAATCATGTCAATTCGTTACCTTTTTTTTGGTGTTTTGTAATACAAATTTTAATATCTACATTGAAGTTGTATCCCTGAGATTAGCTCTGTCTAGAATGCAAAGATTACTATTAGGATCTTGTGGGATCTTTTCTGCAGAAATAAAGCATAATTTATTACACTGTTATGGTAAAGCAGATTTTGTTACCAATTCACATCTTTGTAGATACTTGGAACTGTGATATTTACTCTTTACCTGTTGTCTAATATATTTCCATGTTCCATATCCATATGGTTGGTTTTGGAGC